TTATGAACTTTAATATGCATTATACAGAGGCAAGAGGAAAAGAAAAAAAAACCCATCGAAAGAGTAAGTTCCCCTCAGACATACATTCATATAAACTCCTAACGTTACCCCTAATTGAATCGCGATTTGTTTAGCATCTCAACCGATTTGAATCGTCACATATTTAAATCGATTTTCAACCGGCTCACGGTTAATCGTTACATCCCTAGGGGTAACGCATTACAAGTAATGCAAGTTGCATAATCAGATTACTTTTTTCAAGTAACTGGCAAATAGGGATGCACCGAAATGAAAATTCTTGGCCGAAGGCTGAATACCGAACACGGTTTTTCACATTTTTTCCCCCATATATTTTGACAATTTTTTTCACCATTGCATAAATTAAATAGCCAAAATTGGCTCTTTACTGTTTTGTCTAGCTTTTTTTTAAAGAAATAAATCAGTAACAAAACATCAATTTAAAAATATTTACTTAACACTGAACATTTCAGCTTTTCAGCACAGATTTTCCTCGCGCTTTGGACTTTGAACCCTGGCTAACAAGCAGTTCGTGCGTGTGTTCGAAAACATAATGTTCTGCAGTTTATTTACTAATTGTTTAAGGCTATTTCGCGATTTCAATCATCATACAGTAACCAGAAACAACCAACCCTTCCTCTTCTCATCTGAGACATGTGAAGCAGCACTAAACAGTCTCTCGCTGTCGGTGCTTGTAATGATTTTTGCATCTTTTTTTGGACACTTAAATACTTTCACACGTGCCGACATGTTTGCTGCATTAATGCGCGCCTCTATTTGATCATGTCACATCATTGTTTCGGTACAATTTATTCTGTCTTTTCGCTTATTCGGCCGAACGTTTATTTTGGTTGCCGAACATTCGGTGCATCCCTACTAGCAAAGTAGCGCATTACTTTTAAATGAACAAGAAAATATCTGAGTTACTTTTTCAAATTAGTAACGCAAGTTACTGTGTTTTCCTATTGATTTACTGACACCTTTTTTTGTCGCCGTGTTGAGAGAAATTGGGAGTAAGTGCCTGAGGCTTATTAATGTCACTCTTGGTGTGAAAGGGCCTTTACAGTAGCCAAAAATATAACGTTTGGTTTTTCCGTTATTAAAAATAAATAAGCAAGCCCAGCCCAGGTGACAAAAAACGTAACGCAAAATAACATAATGCATTACTTTCCATAAAAAGTAACTAAGTAACACAATCAGTTACTTTTTTATGGAGTAACGCAATATTGTAATGCATTACTTTTAAAAGTAACTTTCCCCAACACTGTGCGTAAGAAAATGTGTCATGACTTTCAGAATGTTTGACCGATTCTCGATTTTTAAAAAATGATTTTTAACTAGTCAACTTGAAAATGTAACTACAACATGATTCAAGTAATGTTTTCTTTATTAACCCTCTAGTTAAAGAAAATTCTATTCCAAGTGCAGCACACATGAAGTTGTCAACATGATGTAAATGTTAAACAAATCACTTGTTAAGTATCTTTAAAGTACATTTAATATTGCAAAAATACTTTTCATACTTAAGTATAATAAATATCACATACTTTAAAACTTTTACTCAAGTAATATTCTAAACGGTGACTTCAACTTCAGCCAAAGTCATTTTCTGGTGAGATATCTTTACTTTTACTCAAGTGAGGCTTTTACGTCATCCACCACTGCACAGTTCTCATGCGTTAATGCTGTTTGTGGTTTGTTCACCGCTGCGGTCGCTCTCAGTCTGTCTTAAACACCTCGTATGAGTTTAAGAGGCGCAGTGACAAAGATGGGTTCTGTTTGCTTGGGTCAGTGTACTGAAACTGCCTCGAAACACCCTAGAAACGGCCGTGCAATTGTTTTCTAAACCGCGTCCTTCATGTCTTCCTCTAAAGTCTTGGTGGAGTCATTGAGGAACCAGAATGATTAAGTGGAATCGGAACCAGAATTACATTCCTCAGGATTTTATCATTGTTCTTGGTGTCATCTTCTTTTGTTGAGTTTCTCTGTGTGAACCGCCGCAGCTGGAGCCGCAGATCTCGTCAGACCAGATTTTAATGATCTGTAGTAGCTCTTAGACTGATGATACAACATTTTGAGCAATTTTGCCAGGCAACTTTTTTTGAGCAATGGTGCTTGGGCACTTTCCCATTGAGAATGGTTAACAAATTCCTATCTGGATACCTTAGATCAGTCGTTTTACATCAGTGCTACTGTAGAACACTTACCACCTGCTGCAGTTTCATTATTATTTATTAGAATGCTTTTATATCGTTATTTATTCTAATAACTTTATATTCATATAGCTAAAACATACAATAGAAGAAACAGTTTTGAAGAAACCATCTTGTCAGAATTGCAAGCTCCAGTCTGATTGGCCAGCTGTGCCTGTTTCTTTAGGGAACTTTTCCCTATAAAAAAAAAAATTTAAAAAAATGGACCCTTATGACTGGTTTTGTGTCTTATTTGTAATAATATTTTTATAATTTTAATAATATATTTTTAATAATGTCTTATTTTTGAGTCAGTAAGATGTTAAAAATCTGATTTTTTTTCCCAGTTCATCCATCACACAGCATTTGGAAGGTCGAGTCGGGCGCATTGCATTGTGGGATACAGAAATGTTGCATTGAAATGTATCTGCATCTCTATATCTCTTCCCGTTTCCCTCATTCTGTTCTCTTCTGTGTAGAGTTGGATTCAGATGAAAGTTCAGATGAATATGACGAGCGCGAGCTCAGCAGAGACGCTAAACTCATAGACATGGCCAGCAAGGTGCGTTGTTTTATTCCCAGAATTGTCCAATAGTGACAGACGCTGTATGATTGACAGCTGCTTCCTCCAATAGATGTCCTTGATGGTTCCCAAGGCAACGAAACCCCGTTACAGCAGCCTGTGCAGCGACGACGAGCTACTAGACGATGACACCATCTCTTACGAATCTGTGTCCCTGAAGTGAGTTGCTTTTATTTTCCTGCTGTTAGCGATTTTGCAAATGTGTACGTTCCTGATTTGTCATTGTACAGTTAAATTTAGTTTGTTGATGTTGATTGGGCAATATGAGAAATTCATGTCGTGTTGCAATGTGATGTAACACTTCCCTCTTGTGCTGATCTCATCTCTCTCTCTCTCTCAGACGGAGTTCATGGATCAAAGATTTGGGTTCGATCTCCGGCTCTCAGAGCAGCATCTACCTGCCAATCACAGGCCACGTCAGTGCTCCGCCCCCTCGGGAAGACCCCGCCTCCACCAGCGTCCCCGTGATTAAAGTGGGCTGGCTGGACAAGAATCCTCCTCAGGGGTGCGTGCGTGTTTTGATTTCACACTGACTTTTGAACATTTGTGACCCTGGAGCACAAAACCAGTCATATGGGCCATTTTTAAGAAATTGAGGTTTATGCATCATCTGAAAGCTGAATAAACAAGCTTTCCATTGATGTATGGTTTGTTTTTTTGGCTGAGATACAACTATTAGAAAATCTGGAATCTGAGGGTGCAAAAAAATCTAAATATTGAGAAAATCATCTTTAAAGTTGTTCAAATGAAGTTCTTAGCAATGCATATTACTAATCAAAAATTAAGTTTTGATGTATTTATGGTAGTAAACTTACAAAATATCTTCATGGAACATGATCTTTACTTAATATCCTAATGATTTTTGGCATAAAAGATAAATGGATAATTTTGACCCATACAATGGGTTACAAATATATGACTGCTTTTGTGCTCCAGGGTCACATTTCAGGATTAAATTTTTGAAATGGTTCTTTTATATGATTCTTTTGAATGAACTGATTCCCTAAACTGAATCAGAATTCCCAACCATTTTATATTTTCAAGAGATTGCTGCCTTAAAGCAAAGCTGCATGTGCAATCTACACATTTTGAAGTATTTCTACGTCAATTTAAAAAAAATGTATTTAATGTTTCATACCATTTATTTAGAATTAATTGTCAAATTTACCAGCAGCTCCTGAGTGAAAATCCGTTTTCTTTCGCTTGTGTGATTTAGTTTCAACAATGTAACTAATGTGAGACTAATTGACAATTCTGTCTGATTTATTTCTAAGTATTGAGTTTGATTTGGACTTCCACATGATTTCATGGTGCCATGTCAGATTCAGAACAGCAGTGATTCTCTAATGTTTCTGTCCGCTAAACCCATTAATGATCTAAAATATTTGTATATTATATTATTGAAATATTTATTTAAAACAGACCAGCAAAAAAGCTGTGAGAAATCCACGCCAAATAGAAGTTTTTAAATGTAGAAATAATTTCTCAGATAAGCTAAAAAAATCTATTATAAATTAGTCTAACATGAGGAGAAATTAGAAATTAGGAAACTGCAGTTTCTGTTTATCTGTGAGCTTTTCCTCTTGATGGACTCATTTTTAATTAAAGTATTTATTAAAATATTTTTAGTAATTTTTGCATGTGCACAATTCTCTGATGTCAGTTAATGATCACATGATATGAATATTTCATCCTTTTTACTATTTTTAAAATTATTTTTAGTTTTTTATTCATATTAATATAATTATTTTTACATTTTAAAAATTATTTGACATTTTTTGTTATTAAATTATTAGCATTTATCAATGCACAAACCCATTTGAGAAACTCTGATAAGGCACAAAAACATGGAAATAAACATTCAAATGCACCGTTTCAATAGTACAATCACAAGATTCAAAATTATGCACGTTAACATGCCACTAAACACGGTCACTTTCACTTTGAATGTATGATTATACCTGAAAATTACACCTTTTTACATGAACACAAAATCACACACACACAGATCATATTTTAGACACTTTACAGCTGAAATAACACACTTTTATACTTGCATAAATTATCTAAGTGATCGAACATTTCTACCATTTTGTACCGGTAGTTATTTGGGAGCTTAAAGACAATTACTTTTCAGTTAACTATATTGGTTTTGCAGTGAGGTCACAAAATAACTAAACTAAACTGCACTATTTTTTTCTGTAGAGCTGCTTTATAGTTAAAATAGAAGTAATAATTAGAGCTGAATTAATTTAATCCTGACTCAACAATTTTGCAACGCCGTTTACAAGTGCAAAGTGATCTATATTGCATAAAGCACTATAGAAATTAACTCGATTTTACTTATTGTGGTAGTAGACATGATTCTACAGATTCTATTGATGGAGATTAACATCTACTGAAGCTAAAGCATTAATTTAACCACTGTGTGTGTGCGTGTGTGTGTGTGTGTGCGTGTGTGTGTGCGTGCGTGCGTGTGTGTGTTTATGTGTGTGTGTGTTTATGTGTGTGTGTGCGTGTGTGTGTGTGTTTATGTGTGTGTGTG